ATATTATCTTAAAAGCTAATTGTATTCTAAAAAATATATTCATGAACATATTTATTTTTATACCCCCTATCGGGTTGAGTATATATATGGGAGTATTTTATGTCAATTTAAGTCTGCCAATTCTTTTGTGTAAATGTTTGGCTGCCGTCTGAGGAAAGTTTTTTTTTTTTTTTTTTTTTGATTGCCATAGTTCAAAAATTAGTTAGATTCGTTAACCGTTCGTAACTGTAACTTTAGCCAACAAGAAAATCTCGTATGAAACTTTGTACAAAAGAGCCTACTGTACTTGACGAACAGACACGCCCACATTTGACAAAATATTTAGAAACTTCAACTTTTTGCTTAAGGGCAGTTCAATTTGTTCACCAATCAAAATTGGGATTATGTGCATACATTGTATGCCTCTCAAATTCAGTCGGATTGTTAAATGTTGCATGACATGTAAAGCAATTCCATCGATCATCTTCTTCAGTCTCAGCAGGTTCCTCTTTAATAATCGTTTGATTTTGTTGACTTTTCGTGTGTCCTAAATTCACATCATATGTGAATTGTTGTTGTTGTGATTTCATTAACGGCCCTGAGGTGCTACTATATATATCACCAGTAGATTTTCTACACATGAAAGTACTTGTTGATGGCTTATCGTGGAAACTGCTGCTATAGTTGTATAATAAGTCACTACGCCTTTGCACAAATTTCGTTCTTATGCCTGGTATCGGTCCGTTTTTGGTTATAATACGGAAACCAGGTTTCATTTGATGATGACTGCCGATTCGTTGAGTATTATTTGCAAGCATAGAAGCTGATGGATTCGATTTTTTGTCCAATGGAGCATATTTGTCTTTACGCGAATCTGGTGGTAGAACAACTTCACCATATTTAACGGAAGGCTTGTGTTTTCTCATATGCGAATTACGTGATCTCCAGTTTGAAAAATTAATGTGACATATAGGGCAAACTGTCGGACTATTGATATTTTTTGCTGCCTTTGAGACCATACCCTAATTGTATAGATAAATTTAGCCTACATTTCATATGAAATAATATTAAATATTATACCTTGACTTTTTTGAGTTTACTTGTTCCCACCATTGAGTGACTGAAAAAGGGTTTTGTTGCAACAGGCTGTTTTCGAGTTTCTTCAGTGGATGATGGTATACGTGGACTGCCACGTGCTATTATGGATTGGCGCTTAACGGAACGATAGCTAATGCCATGGGCTGCTGCGACATGTTCTCGTAGCATTTTCGGAGCTTGAGGAAATTCTTTGCCACATAAGAAGCAATAATAATCGCAATCACCTTGATACCAGTGCGTCAATATGGCTTTATTATTATCAAATATACGCCAACAGTTTAAACAGCGTATTGATTTTTGACTATTTACTTCAATAAGTCGGCCTCGTCGAAGATGTGTAGGCAGTATACGTTTCTGGAAGATTTTGTCAACTGGAATGCTAAGATGTCCTAATTGATGTTCAGCTAATTTCTTTAAATCATTGCCTGTATATGAACAATATTGGCATGAAACGATTTCTGGCAAAGTAGGAGAGACGCTTTCTTCATACAGTAACGGATCTTCCTCAGTGTTATCCGGCAATGTGGGAGTAACCTTAATTTTTTTCACCGTGCATCCATTTAATTCTAATTTCGATTTGATGTCTTTAACAAAGTTTTCGTTAAGCGGTTGATATTTACCAGGTTTAATATCTTCTTCAATCCCTTCTTCAGGTTTAATAAGAATTTTCTTAACGGTTTCTTCTTTAATATCCACCTGATGATTAACCTTTAACGAGTCCTTGGTAACTTTGATGGAATTCTGCAGTTATAAAGAGTTTACATTAGCGAAAAAGTCATTAATGATTTCGTTCAAGGCTTACCTCAATGGCATCTAAAATTCTCAAATATTTATTTTCTGGTTGCATGGCTCGTACATTCTCTATCCAACGTTGTTGTTGCTTCACAACTCGTTGAATATCATTGTAGGTGTGATTGACACTATTTATACATTTTCTGCATATGTTCTTCGGTAACGGATCATTTTCATACAGCTGTTTTTTTTTTTTTTTGGATTTTATGCAATTTATTGTAAAGTAGAAATTAGTATTTTGTAAGATTTAGAATATTTATTATTATCTTACCACTATAGGATACACGGTGGTTACTTTTGTAAAAAGATTTATAGAACAGCTACGATTTGCCGCTGCTGTCATACAGAAAATATTTATATTTTCCTTATCGGCATAACCGCAAATGCGGCATTTTTTGTCTTCGTCGATCGGATCGGGACAGAAGTACATCTTGTGGGTATTTATTCAAAATTCTAACGATACGTATTTCGTTATTATCAAAATAAATTTAATGTCGTTTCATTAGACTTTTTCGCAATTACCACAAAATCAGCGAAACAATGAACAGCTGATTGATGTGAAATGTTTACAGTGTTACCATAAGAAATGTATTTTATGATGTAGTTGGCAGCATTTTGTCTAATTTTGTAGGTTAAAATATATGAGGAGGTTTACAAATTTGTATTTTTCAGTTATATTATTTTTATTTATTAATTAATTTTTTTTTTTTTTTGCATATTCATTTGTGTGTATGTAATTCGATATACTAGTAGGAATGTATCAAATAGTTTCGAGTTGCTTGCGTAAGGTTATTTCCAAATGATATTTCACATTTATATATAGTGTACGAATTTTCTCTTTCTTTCTTTCTTTCTTCTATATCTTTCAATTTAGAATTTACCAAAGCTGGAAACTTTAGATATGGCCTTTAATAATTTACCCAATTTCAATTTTGATTATTTCGATCAGGTATTTAAGAATCCCATTATGGAATTGCTCCAAATGGAGAATCACTATATGATATGCATTCTATTACGAGCACTTATACTTATTTATAGGTCGGTACATTATCAAATTTAAACGTGAATGTAAGTCACAATCAAATTAAAATGTTAATGCACAATTCATCGTGGAATGGAAGAAGTGATCATGGTAAAGGAATTCAACTTGTTATTAATTTATATTTAATTAATTATAGTAAAATTTTAATAATTTTTTTTTAGGTTCAATGTATCATTCGAATATAAAAATTTTGGACTTATCACATAATAATATATCTATTATACATCCTGGTTATTTTCGTCCTGCTGAAATATCTTTGACTCATTTACATTTGGGTTATAATGCATTAATGGTGGGAACGAGTGATTTAAATAGAATGCATTCAATTTTATTCTTTAATAACTTTTTCTTAGAATGCTACACGAGATGTATTCGGAAATATGCCGCACTTGCAATGGTTGGATATTTCTCATAATTTCATACATGAAGTAGATTTTGATGCTTTTAAGAATACGAAGCAATTGCAAGTAAGTTAAAGATAGCCTTATATATTTATTTATTTATTTTTTGTTTCATTTAAAATTTATATTAATATTTCATTTAGTTGATTTATTTATCCCATAATTATTTGACGGATATGCCGCAAGATATTTTCAAGCCCATCAATGCTTTAAGGGTAGTAGACTTATCTCATAATAATTTGCGTGGTCTACCTGATAACCTATTTTATAATGGAGGCATGGAAAAGTAAATAAAGTCTTCTTTTTCCTTCCTGTATTTGGTTAGGTAATTAAAAACTCTATTACAGATTAGACGTGTCTCACAATTTGCTGCTTAAGATACCATCCTCATCGCTCTCAAGTTTGGCCGCTTTGACTCTATGCGAATTGCATCTATCCAATAATTTCATATCCACTATACATAGCATGGATTTGTCTAATAAATTTCGGGTAAATAAATGCGTTTTGAGTATTATTTATACCCTATACTTTTTTGTCTTCTTCAACATTCTCTATCTATCTAAATAATATTTTTTTACCCCTTGAATGAACCACACTTTCGAATCCTTAATTTATTTTTAAGCCGCATAAATATCGGGTGAACATACCACTCTATAAATACTACATGTGGTAGAGTTTTTTATTTAAAAATGTTTCTCTCATTTACAGTCTCTGCGTTACTTGGACATTTCGTATAATTATTTGCTGCGTATCGATGATGCTGTATTCGCTACTATGCCCAAATTGGCAGTTTTAGACCTATCTCATAATCGTGATTTGAAAGTGATGGATAAATCATTTATGGGACTTGAGAATTCATTGATTAAATTAGGCTTGGAGAATGTCTCATTAAGTACTGTACCCGAGATACGCTTAAAATATTTACGTGAATTTCGTTTGGGTTATAACGAATTGCCATCAATACCACAAGAGCTTGCACACAATATGAGTAATCTAAGAATGTTGGATTTGTCAAATAATGACTTGACCAATGTGCCACTGATGACGCAATCATTACCACATTTAAGGTACTTTAAAAAAAAAAAAACTTGATAATACTACAATATTATGCTTAAATTTATGTTTAGTTGTATGCCTGCATGTATTTGCATACACTAATGTCTTTATTTGTACGGTGAAAAAGCCCATGAACTGAGACTATGTGAAAGGGCGTATATGACTCACACAACCTATTGATGAAAAGGGTTGAAAAGTGTGAGAATTCTTTTAGGAAAAAACATTAACAATGGAAAAGATGAGGGGTTTAGGTGAAGATAGGAATTGTTTTGCTCTCCTTTAAATGTTCTCATACTCCTTGGAATTTTACAACATGAGAAACTCGTTGACAGTTTGCGATATAATAACAAACATTGATGATAGGTTCTTTTACACTAATTAACTGCAAGCACACGTACATTTTCTGCTTAGTTGGTCATATTAGTTTTCGTCAATTAATTCATTTTTAGATGATCGGAGAAACATTTACTTCATTTAATGCATATTCTTATAAATGTTTCCCATATTGTTTAAGTATACTTTTTATTGTTCTTTCTGAATTTCTTTGTAAATATCATTTTTTAATGCGTCTTTCGATCAAAACGCTTTTGCAAATTGCATTATCAAGCAATTTTCATTCAAATACACTTTTCTTCATTTATAAATCTCTCACTCATAATGGATGGAAGTTTTTCCATTCCTTTGTCAAAAAAAATTTATGCAACATCTCGAAGGACGCTTCAGAGAACTTGTAATCGAGATCAAAATCAAATTCTAAATCGCTCTAAGTGTGTCCGCATACGCGTCTGTACGTCAATTTAATGCCCATGATCTTCTTCTTTTTCGGAGACAGTGGAAGGTCTCGTATCCAGGTTGATATTGAAATTGAGCCTATTTTGTCAAGGGGTGCGTTTACCGTATAACAGAAATTGGAATGTTCTGACCACATATGCAAAGTACTCAGAAAAACCGTAAAATTAAAAATATTCAAATCAATTGTAGCGTAAACCGAGGGATGAATGTAATTACGCGTTTATGTTCGCAAATTACTAAAATTTCTTTATTTTTCTTTTCGCAACATCCAATGATGTATTGACATATGGAGAATTCATAATAGATCTGTTGGTTGTAACTAATACAACACACGCTGTCTCACATGGGCCTTAATTTTCAGTTGTTCTCCTGTAATGAATGTTTGCCTCTAGAGTTTGTGTGTAAATCGTGCTCATAAGTAAATCGCTTTTTCCCATAATATTAAGTTTAAGCTGCACATTTCAGTTGTGTTTTTCGAAACTATCAACATTTCGGAATAAATAGGAAATTTTTTTCTGAATTTTTAATTCCCTAGAAAGCTGATGTTATCTGGTAATCCGATCACATCGTTAAATAATAATAGCTTCGATGGAGTGAACGAGGATTTGGAGATGCTAGACATATCCAACTTTCGTTTGCATTATTTTGAATACGGCTGTTTGGATGCACTGCCACATTTACGTTCACTTAAACTGACCGCCTATTCACATTTGGAACATTTTAATATACCGCAACTGTTGCGTAATCATTATAATATACGTGAGTTGTGGATTGAAGCGCCGCAACCGTTTACGCGTATTGTTAAGAAGGGTTCCGGCCCGACGCAAGAAATGCAAGCTGTACAAATGGGCGCTCCCACTGATTTAGAGCGCGAGATGAGAGGACATTTGCCGCATAAATTAACGAATATTACATTTAGTGGTCCACAGTTTACTACAATAAATGAAAATATTTTGAAGGTAATAAATGCTTCGAACGATTAGCAGTTTAATCAATTAATTAAAATAATACATTTTCTATCTATTGTTAGGGCATGCTTTCACCATATATATATATACAATTGTTTAATACTTCTTTACAAGCATTGCCGAATAATTTCTTTAAAAATATGGGTCGTGTGCGTAACATATCTCTAGACATACGCTATCATAACACTATGTTAAGAAAAATTCCAAATCCAAATACTGGCAGAGTACCATATTTACCGAATAGTGTCTTTTTAACCGATTTAAAAATGTCTAATTCCGATTTGAATTGCGATTGCGATTTAGGGTAAGTTATCAGTGTAAATTAAAAAATATATCATAAGTTGCACACAAAATTCTAATTATCTTTAATTAGCTGGATTGAATATTGGCAAAGAAAACGACGTCAGTATATATGCTCTTCGCAAACATGGACGGATACCGTATTTCGTACGTTCATGAATTCGCCATGTCAAGTTTACGGCCGGCATGATTGCGAGGAACATGATGATGATTTGCGTGAAACTCGTTGCGAGAATAAGGGCGGACAACAGTTAATGGAGGTGCGAAGGAAAATTTTTGCAAAAATTATATCAAATAGAAATTAATTATTAATTTTTATTATTTCTTAGGCATTGAAATTTGATTTAGAATGCGGTTGGGATAGTGCGATCTGTCAGGAGGCCACTGTTTTGGTCTTAATAACATGCTTAGGTTTATTATTTTGGATGTGACTGTTGTATTGTGTGTACAATATATCTAAGGAGTTCTTTGAAACGTTGGAGAGCGTCTATGGTCAGCCAGTTGTTTAAGGAAATAGTTTATGATTTAAAAAATGCAAATTTTAAATCCACTTTTTTTTTTTACAATATATACCGGAAGATATGGTATATGGTATATGGTAGAAGTTTTCTTACTTAAACAACTAACACAATACGAAAATAAGAAGCGTTGTTATTAAGTCTGGTTTTAAAACATTTCACTTCATTGTCCTTTTAAGCATTATATCCTTTTTGTATTTGCTTAACTTTTCTTTAAAAAACTGAAACTTTTTTCCCTGAAAGATTTTAATTTATTTCCAAAAAAAAAAAAAAACCCCTTTGATTTATTCTACACACACATATATATATATATATATATACACAACACGCTTTCGTAAGTAACCAAAGTTTTCCTCACTTATGTACACACACTTATAAAATGTATCTTGTTATTATAATTAAATCGTGATTTTATTCAAAATTTTTAATTACCTACGTAATTGGTTATTATCAATGTATTAACTCCGGGTTAACTCCTGTAATTACCTTCTTTAATTACTTTTACTTATTATTATTATTCTCTTACTATTTATTGTATTTACACTTTATTATCATTTTGATATTATAATATATATTATATTTCGATTAAATATTTAATTTTAAAATCATATTTTTATTTTTTATAATTAATTTTATTTACGCTCTACACTATGTTTATCTGCAATTTTCATTTATTTTTTACTCTAAATATTTATTAAACCTATTTACACACCTATATATACATCCATCTATACTTCGAAAAACAACATATACACATGTATCATCAATGTCATTCAGTATTTTTATTTGAGTTTGCCTTAAGTATTTTATTGTATTTTGTTGAGCATATTTCAACAACGCTTTTGAAAACTCTTTGTAATGTTTCATATTAAATAAATAATTTAGAATAATATAAAATAATTTATTTTTAACTGAAAATTAATTGAATTATTATTTAATGATATCTGTTAGAAGAGAATAACGATCGCTTAGCATCTGTGCATCGAAATTTGTACTAATGTGGGTAAGAATTCGCAAACACATTTCGGTTTAACAACTTAAAGTTGCATCAATTGATTATTGCGTACTGTGAACGCAATCCGATGATGCTTCTATTTCATTGTTCCAATGCTGGGTAAAAATATATATTTCTTTATTATTATTCTGATTAATAAAACTCTTAGTTTTATTAACATGGCATTGGTATTATATTTGTTTGAAAATATGATTTACATTTGGATTCTTTTCTTGTATGACAATATGATCTACATTCTCAAGTAAAGTATTTTTCTTTTTTTTAAGAACACATTTGTTAATATAAAGTATAAATACCAGCTTGAATGGCCAAATAGGCAAAGAAGCTGGACTAACAACTTATTGGCCGTGAATGCGTTACAGATTTCAATAAAGCCGATAGCTTAGAAAAACTCATCCTTGAAGAGATTAAATAAAAGAAATAAGTTTTAGTCAATTCGATGAGAGTCGAGTTGCATTAATTCTCTTCTTATTAAACTCGTATCTTCGCCTCTCTTGCACTATGCTCTTGTTTGTGTATTTTGCATACATACATACATGTGTAAAAAAATGGTTTTATTTTATCGTTCCTTAGTAAGAATCAAAAAAAAAAAAAAAAAAAAAAGAAAAAAATTCACACACTATTATCATTTAAAATGTACGCATACACATCTTCTTTTGTGTTTTGCATCATTTAATTTCTTTAACAATACTGTTACACTTATTAACATGAGCTTACAGTGTAAGCAGTAAATCGAAAAGAGAATATGAATATGTTTGCTCTTGACAATGTTTATACAAGTTTTATTTAGCTCTTTAACGTAAGCAGGGGATCGCGCGTTGTTTGTTACGAGAAAAGTGAAAATTTATGCATAAATTATGCATAAAAAATATTAAAAAAAAAAGTTTAATAATCTCCTTTACTTATATTTAATAATTTTCTTTCATGCATTTGCAATATTTATGACTTTTCATTTCTTTAAGTTTCGTTGGCGAAAGATATTTAAAAAAGAAAAAAAAAAGTACGTTCTAGTGATAGTTTGTTGTTTGTGGTTTACGGGCAAATACGTGCATGTTCGCTTTAAATGTATTATTGTGTAAGAGTGTAGTTATTTTTGTTGAAAGTAAAGAAAGAAACTTTACTTGGCTCTCATACACTAAGGAATCTTCGGAAAATTTCAATGGTGAGTTTATTTATTATGTTTAATATAAAATTGTTTTATATTTTTTTAAACGCTATTATGTGAGTTAAGAATATAAAAACGCTTGTCCCGAAGCATGGAAGCTGCATTTGTCGTTTTAAGTCACTTTCTCTTCTTGTGACTCGCTTCACGATCGATATTTTTTGGCGCAATTCTGAAAATCGCACAGATATTATCGTTATATTTAAGATATTTTTTAGCGAAGATATTGAAGCATTTTAGTTTAATTCCATATGACTTTCATTCTCCTAATTCATGATTACTTTATTTATGTAAGATTTTGAATTGATTTAATCGTTTATGATCATTGCTCTGGTTCACTAACAACGCCGCCGACTGTAGGTAAAACTTTGACAGTAAGCGGGAGATTTCCATTTAAAAAATATTTACTAAGGTCATCGAAAACTTCAATGAGCGTAATACAAACACAAAAACAAAAAGTTTACCTTCCTGTCCATAGTAAAGATGGGCCGAACGCTTTACGCAAATATTACGTTAAGGTATCTAAAAGACAAGCATAGTTCGATCGGTTGAAAAAAAAGTAGCTAACGCTAATAGGAATTAGAAAAACGGCTGCAAAATCTTTAGCGGATCCACTACATCTTATTGTTACTGAAATAGTTTGGTGGATATTGAAAGTCAATGATGAATATTTTATATTTTTTTTGTTTATTGTGTGCGCTTTACTATTACACTTTAATACGAAAACTTTATTTATTCATTTCTTTTTTTTATTATATATTCACAAAAATTTAATTATATTATATACAACTTTAGTCAAAAAAAAAGTGTTCACTAACAGTTTTACCTGGTGGTGCAGCGATAAAAGACGCACATACACATGCACACACATATAGCATTTAATTGTTATTGTTGTTTTCTTTATAAATTCTTTATAATGCTAGGCCGCAAGCAAAATACTCTTTGATGATGACTCTGGGCTATTTACCTATTGTTTGTGCTTGCATTGGTTGCGACGATGCAATGAATTATGTACCATTTTCATTTTATTAATTTAATTTGTGTCTTCTTCTCTGAAACCATAGTATATTGTCAACGATGTACACGGGTACGAGTTACTTTATAGTTGTGTACTTAAAGCTGAAATGGACGACGTACTACATCCTCCGCTTCCTGTTTGTGAATTTTTCCTACTCCCGTTGCTGACGTTGGTGCTTCTACACGTCCGCAGTACAGAAGCTGTTGAATAGCAAGAGAAAAAAAAAAAAACAAAAAAAAATAATGATAATAAAAATAAAAATAAATAAAGACGATCTTTTAAAAGGTTTTTTCGTTTTTTTTTTTTTTTTTTTAAAAGCATGGAAAGTAAAAATGAAAATGTATACGGATTGTAGAATTAACAAGTTTATAATAGTACGTAAAGTAAAGGTTGCAAAATTTTCAAAAGTGAAAAGGAAAGGAAATGTAAAAACTATCATAAAAATAGATTTTTTTTTTTTTTGTGTTACTATGTTTCGTACCGGTTTGCCGATTAAATTTTCAAATCTCGGTTTCACAAAATTCCAGGCGCCCATATTGCGTTGCTCTTCTTGACTCCAAACAAAGGCTAAAGTGAAAAACGTAATTAGGAAACAAACTCAACCAAAAAAACAAAAAAAGAAAAAAACAAAAAAAAGAAACAAAGCTGTTTTTTTTTTTGTTCGTTTTTCATGTAACGTACTTTTTGCATTTCTATACTTTGCCAACTGCTCTTGCAATTCGAGTAGTGGAAAAGGACACAAAGATTCTAACCGTATTATAGCAGAGTTGTTGATTTGTTTCGCTTTTCTTTCATCAGCTAAAGCATAGTAATGTTTACCGGAACATAGTATAACTCTTTGCACATCGTTCGGTTGTACAGTCACGTCTGGCAAAAGATTTTCAAATTTTGTACCTGGTTGAAAATCGACATGCGTTGATGTGGCCGCCGGTAGACGTAGAAGAATTTTAGGCGCTACTACAATTAAAGGTTTGCGAAAGTTCCGCAACATTTGCCGTCGCAATACATGATAGTATTGGGCAGGTGTAGTTGGATTAACGATATTAATATTAACATGATCGCCATCAGAATCCGTTTCTTTCGAATCGCATAATTGCAAAAAACGTTCAATACGACAGGAGCTGTGTTCAGAGGCGGCACCATCGTATCCATGAGGTAGCAGCATAACTAAAGCATTTGAATCCATCCATTTGGCTTAATGGAACAGGTGTTTTTTTTTTTTTTTTTTTTTTTTTTTTTTTTTTTAAGGTTAATAACTAACGTTTATTTATATTACTTAGATAAGAACTTATTAGGCATTCACACTTACTTTCGCCCGATATAATAAAGTTATCAATTATGATTTGTGCGCCATTGGCAA